TCCTGCCTCTTCAGAGCGGGGGTGGGGGTGGTGGGGAGCATCACCAAGAAGTTGCTGCTGGGTTAGCCCCTTGGATTTGCGATGGCTGATGGGATTCAGGCAGTTCTGTTTGGGGGAGGCATTTGCCAGCAAAGTGGTTTGGGGCCGATGAGCCCCAAAAAAGGTCTTCTTGGCCTGACTGTCGGGGACCTCCTTTCTCTTGGCAGCTCACCATCAAAGCTCTCCACGTCTGCCCGGAAACCGGCCTGGGAGGCCCCGAGTGCTGCCTTCGTGTTTCGCTAATGCCGCTGAGGCTCAACATCGACCAGGTGAGGGGGCGAGGGAAAGACGGAAGCTCCCACCGGGTTTCCCCTTCCCCAAAGACAGCAGAGGAAGGCCTCTTTGCAGGCAGGCCCCTCCCGGGGCGGATGGAAGGGCAGAGGCCTGGTTCCCCCTGAACCACCTGCCCTCCTTGGGTAGATGAGCGCTGCTTGCTTGTGGAGAGCAGCAGTTTTTATCTGCACCGCCGTGGAGAGCGGTGGCTCCAGTCCACATGGCTGGGTGTAACTGAGGTTTAAAGTGGCAAGGCTGGGGGGTGGGGGCTGTGTTTTTTGTCTGTACAGTGGTGGCTCGCAAAACGAGCACCCCGTTTAACGACAAAATCGCATCACGACGAACTTTACAATGTTTTAAATGGGGTTTTTTTGCTTTGTGATGATCGGTTCCCTGCTTTTGGGAACCGATTCTTGCAAAAACGACGATTTTCAGCTAGCTGATCGGTGGTTTCAAAATGGCTGCCGGGTAAAAAAAACTGGCTCCCCGCTCTTTTCTGGGACGGATTCCTCGCTGCACGGGCAGCAAAAATGGCCGCGCTATGGAGGATCTTCGCTGGGTGGTGAGTTTCAAGCCCATAGGAACGCATTAATCGGGTTTTAATGCGTTTCTGTGGGCTTTTTTATTTCGCATTACGACATTTTCGTTGTACAGCGATTTTGCTGGAACGAATTAACGTCGTAATGCGAGGCACCACTGTATATGGCTGTGTGCCACTTGAGTTTCAGTCTGCCTGGTTGTGTGGCTTCTGGAACAGTGTGTGTCTGCCCCTGCGGCTTGCCTCCTGGGAAAAGGGCTTTGGATTGAGTTGTCTGAGAAAGGAGACCTTCTGGATTCTCCCACATCTGCTGGATAGCTGAGCTAATCCAAAACTCTGTGCCTGTCCGCTACTGACCCAATGCACTGAGTAGCAGTATGTCCTTGACGGGGGCTGGACCCGATGATCCCGAGGGGCCCTTCCAGATCAGCCGTTCCCAGATCATAGCATTCTCTCTTCTTCCTCGCTACAACCCAGCCACCCGTCCTAGGCTGGCACTAGAGAGGATGCCTGAAGTTGGGAAGGTCAGGGAAGAGGCTGATGTTTTCCCCCCTCCCTTTCTCCTCTCAGGATGCCTTGTTCTTCCTCAAGGACTTTTTTGCCAGTGTAGCTGCCAGCATTAATCCAGTCGTACCCCTGGACCCCGGCTCTGAAGGTGCCTAAGCAAAGGGAGCTCTTAAGTCCGGTCCCAGTGTATACACGAAGTTGGGGCTCCCAAGACCCTCCCCAGGCGAGTGTTTGTGACCTGAGAGGATCTGGCCTCTCCCCTTTTCGGTGCTCAAAAGCTTAATAGTAAGAGTGGGATCCCTCCACCCACCAGGCAGAGTCTCAGGCTGGAACCTTCTCGGCCCCTAGCAAAGGGACACCTTCTCATCAGGAAGGCCACTGAAACGACTCGCTAACGAATCCCCAGCCCGAGTGGCCGGGACTGCAGCCGATACAGATCAACCCTAGGGAGCTTCTCGGGGGAAGGCTCCCGCTTGTAAGATGGCTGTAAGTGCCCCTGGGCTGAAAGCCTTGTGGCTCAGCTGAATAGCTCACCGGCTTAGGTCTCTCTGGCTGCGGAGCCCTCAGAGGTTGGGAGTTCGATTCCCCCACTGGCTCTCCTGCGAGAAAAGAGCCAGCCTGGGTGGCCTTGGGCAAGCTGCACAGTCCTCAGAAGAAGGGAATGGGAAACCGCCTTTGAGTATCCTCTGCCTGGAAAACCCCATAAAAGAAGTTGCCACGAGTCAGAATTGACTGGAGGGCGCACAATGACTATTAGGCTTCTGAACCGAGAATCCGGTTCCAGATTTCTCCACAGGAGGAATTGGGGGGGGGGTGTTAGAAAAAAAAACCCACTGACTGCTCACAGTAACTACAAGCAGGCCAAAACGTTGCAGATGGATAATCCGTGGCACAAGGGATGTAGCTGCATCACACTTGAAGCGGGAAGGGGAACCCCTTCTTAGTCATTTCTTTTCTTTTCCAAAGGCTGTTTCCCTTCCAGCGTATTTCACATGCCGTTGTAGGTGCCCCGCTTTCTAGGAATCACTGTCCGG